ATAGAAGGAAGAAAGTAATGTAAAATCTTCATCTCCCCTGAGTAAACTTTTGCTTTCGAGTCCAACCGACCGCCTCACCAAAATTTAAACAAACCGAAAACGGAGAAAGAATTAATCTTAATTTATACAGGAATGTACAAAGAGAATTGACCACTTACCTGTAGACAATGTGCTCTTTTTCTCTTCGCATCGAGTGAAAGACGCAACTGGTGTCAGACATTTTGGAGTGATGATAGCCAGTTCTTTTCTCCAATCCTTACCGTCTTCTACGTACACCGTGTACTTAGAGTTGAACCTTATATTTGGCAAGACACATGTCGCCTGCAACAGAAGAGAATGAATGCAAATGTACAATGAATTAAAATTCAGTTTATTAAAAAAAAAAAATGGCCCAGTTCAACATTAATTGAAAATCAGGATTGACCCGGCGTTTAACAATGGTGGCAATATCATAATCAATTTTGTCGATATTTTATTCATTCTAAACGGCTAATGAGGATAGAAGGAAACGACAATTGGTGTGAATTAGATAAGAACGAATTCATCTATGTGCCCAGATTTAAAGTACGCTGGCTGGTAGGTTCCTGTGGCCTAATCGGTGAGGTGCTGTCCCTCTCACTTAATCTTCTACATGTTATAGTCACAGAAGACTCATTGTCTCCTTTGTTTTTCCTTCCAATTCCTATTGTTGTAGAATTATAAATGATTTCACTGTTACAATAGACAACAACAAATCTGTTTGGTTTGTTTTGGTTTACGACATATCAACACCTCAATGGGTTATTTAATACCGACAGCATTTTTATTGCTGGTAATATTTTCACCAAAAATGTATTAGTGGTAATAATATTTTCTCCGAAAATGTATTTCTGGTAATAATGTATTGCTGGTGATAATTTTTTCTTCAAAAAATTTATTGCTGGTATTAAAACCTAATTTTACACTTTCGTAGTGTTTTGACCCCAGTTTAGGGGTTAACTATTTGCCCATATTTGGGACCTGCTACCATACCGGGTCAGGGTAGACCTGGGAACACCAGCAATATCCAAAACCTCCTGATGAGACGCTTTGTTGTTGGATGTAGTTTTACCCAGGACGCAGATATAGTTTATCGTCTTACCCAGGATGTCTATCTGTCTGGTCAGGAGGAAAATTCTTGCGGTTTGTAGATGAATGATTTACTCTCTTAAGGCACGGAGCTTCTTCCGAACTTGGTATCAGCGCCAAAAAGCACTTGCATTTTTACGGTTATTGTGTTAACATCTATGTAATACAAAAAAAAAATCTTAAAAATTCTTCCTGAAATCCGAACTTGGTATCAGCGGCGAGTAACACGAACTCGCAAACCACTGCACTTGAATTTAATATAATTTTAAGTGAAATAGGCTAAGAATGGCTTAAGCTTATCTTTATTGAGCTATAAATGCAATACCCACATGACACTATCTTTCTATATATCTTAATAATTATTTCCATTAGTCAAACACAAGGTCATCTATTTGGAGCACAAAGTAAAAAGTAAACGATCTCAAATTGTTGACTGAGTTTATGTGATGTGTTTAATTAAACGTCTTGATTAAATCACTGGTGATTGAAATTTTGAGAGCCTACAATCAAATCATTCCCAAGGCCCTGGTTCTCGCTGGATCGCCAAAGTTAGCAACTTCGAGCCCAGTCAGTACTTAGATGAGGGGCCGCTTGGGAACACTGCGTACTTTAAAGCAATCTTCTAAAATCCGAAATAATTTTCGGCTTAAAGTAACCCACAAAAGGATGAGAAGCCGTAAAAAACAAATCAATTAAATTATCGCCCTGTTAACTTCTTATCTCTTTTTGGCAAAGTGCTCGAGGCTCTAATCAATGCCGAATTGGTTAAACATCTTACTACCCACGGCCTACTTTTAAAACTAACAATATGACTTCAGTTTCGCCAGGTCTACATCCGGCATGTTAATAGTCATCATTGATTTTAGATGAGGGTCCGCTTGGGAACACTGCGTACTTTAAAGCAATCTTCTAAAATCCGAAATAATTTTCGGCTTAAAGTAACCCACAAAAGGTTGATAAGCCGTAAAAAACAAATCAATTGAAATTTTGAGATCATTTCATCTTGAATTGTTCGGAAAATCTCTCTTTAAATATTTGTGTGGGTCGTTCATTTCCTTCTTCTAGACCAGAATTTCTCAACTGAGGTTGCCCGGAGCCCTAAGATTCCGCTAAAGGTCCACAATGGTTCCGTGAAAACGGATGAGATTAACTAAAACAAGTATAAGAGCAATGACAGAAATCGTCTCCTCTCAATTGAGAATGAAATCCGTGTGTGTTTATCTAAAGTTCGACCTTGAATAAAGTATTTCTGAAGCAAAAGACAGACACAGACATCACGTTAGAGAAGCATGTTTCACTTTATCAAATGGCATTGAAAGTAACATTTTCTTACCCCGTTTATTGGTTCACAGGATACTTTGCCTTGATTTGCCTTATGTCTTTTCAACAATGCCAGTAAAGAATAAAAAATCAAAAAAATCAACTGATGCAGTAATTATCTGTTTACGTTCTGTTTTCATTTATATTATAGGTATATGATATTGATTACTTATGTTTATTTTTTTTATATTTGACTTTAGAATTTTTTTGTGTGAATGAAAACTTCCTGGTGAAGTATTATAAACGAACAGTATGAATTTTATTTAGCATTGCCGAAAAATTTGACAAAGAAGTATTAATTTTTCTTAAACCGGTTATTCAAAACTATATACTATGATATTTACCACGTGAACTACGATGAAAATAAAATGAGAAAGATATGATTATGAATAATCAAGAGTGCTCTCCCCTTGATTTGTTACTCTCCGCTTTGAGAAAGTTATTTCTGTTTACTGGGACTTTAAAAGGACAATATACGCGAACTTTGTATTCTCAGTTGAATAAAGCTTTCTTAAAGCCTGCACAAGCGTACTTTTGTCATTACAATGGTATACATAATTTTTTTCTTTGCGCAGTTGTTCCTTGAGACATGTAAAGGGTTACACAAGAGTAAAAAGGTTAAGAAATGCTGTTCTAGACTTTCATGACAGACACAGACGTGTGTCTTTGTTACGAGGTGTAAGCAAAATTCACGGAATATTGTGTTTACAGTATAAACGCTGGAAAATTTCTTTTTCTTTTTTTTTCGCTACTATTGTTTCCCAAATAGAAGGCCCAAGAGGCATACAAGGTAGAGGGTTAATGAATGAGGATGTTGTAAGAGGAGGAGGTAAGAAGCGCTGATTATGAGGATATATAGAAGAGATAATGATTGATCCTAGACTTTAAGAGGTTTGTATTGATCAGGGAAGCATCCGCTTGGGAGTCTGTTTTCACAAATTAGCAGTTCATGAGAAGAAGCTGCCGAATGAAATGCAGACGATTTGATTTCTGTACATTTTATGGCGGGTTTTTGCTGACAAGGCATGAACTGGTATCTTTTGCCATGGAAATAGCGATAGAGTAGCAAGAGGCTTAGCTGTAAAGGTCTGAACTGTTGGAACTAAGGAATGTAGCTCGTCTGAACATTTGCCATGGAAATAGCGATAGAGTAGCAACAGGCTTAGCTGTAAAGGTCTGAACTGGTGGAACTAAGGAATGTAGCTCGTCTGAACATTTGCCATGGAAATAGCGATAAAGTAGCAAGAAGCTTAGCTGTAAAGGTCTGAACTGTTGGAACTAAGAGATATAGCTCGTCTGAACATTTGCCATGGAAATAGCGATAGAGTAGCAAAAGGCTTAGCTGTAAAGGTCTGAACTGGTGGAACTAAGGAATGTAGCTCGTCTGAACATTTGCCATGGAAATAGCGATAAAGTAGCAAGAAGCTTAGCTGTAAAGGTCTGAACTGGAGGAATTTAGAAATGCATCTTGGCATCATATTTTCCCAGGAATAACGGTAGAGTAGCGAGAAGCCTGTGACGTTTTGCCTGTTGGAAAAGGGGTTGCAGTGTAGAAAAAATAAATCACCCACAAGGCCGCGCATTTTCAAGCCGTTGTATCCATTAAAAAGCTTTTTCTAGTTCGTAGTTAATATTGTTATGAGTTGGTTTTTTCTTCATAACAATAATAACTATGAACACGGCCACAATGTGCTAACCGTGTTCGGAAAATAAAACACCTCTATAACACACTAAAAGCATACATATAACGGACACACTCAATTAAACTGAATAAACAAAACAGTTTCTCCACTCTCTGTCTGCAAAAAAAGAAAGCTCTTGTGCCAACATAAGAAAAAATAAATAAAAAGCTTAACCTTAGTACCTTGTCTGTCGTTTTTAATGAAACATTTATAAATGAAGGATTGCTGCCTAAATACACAATATATATATATATATATATATATATATATATATATATATATATATATATATATATATAGTTTATGAAAAACTAGGTAATCCGTATGGGTAAACCTAAGGAGGATAAAATTCAGAGAGCTCATTGTAAATCCAGAGCAAATAATTTAAATAAAAACAGACCACTTTATGGTTCCATGTAATAAATTATTTCGCCACAGCCCTTTTAAAAGGACTGCGGATCATCAGACTTTACTTCCAAACAAAAAAGAAAAAGAAAATTTACACATTTTTGACGGGCCGTATTAAACATATGTAAATTGAGGAAGTGAGGGGGAGAGAGAAGACATGAGTGAGTTAGTAGATATTGACACATTTAAACGGTATATATATATATATATATATATATATATATATATATATATATATATATATATATATTGAGAGAGAGAGAGAAATTAAATGCTTACCTGTTTATTGCCAATGGTCACCCGTTTTGGTCCGAAATGCTGAGGTGGCTCTCCGCAGGCCTCGACGTCTGGATAAATGCTGCAACTCTCAAGAAACCAGTCTACCGAATATACGACACGATCGCGGACGTTTGAACTTGTGTGCCGAAGTTTTAACGTCACAACCACCGACTGGTTCACCTCTGTCATGTCGTAATCCAAGTCTAAACTGTCTTTCAAATTCTCCACCGGACCGCCGCCAACGCCTCCACCTCCGCCGCCATCACCTTGTTGCTCCCCTCCTCCGTCGAACAGATCATCTTCACCGTCTTTTCCCTGGTTCGACTGTCTCTTGATTGGGCTAATCTGGAGTTCGCCTGCGGTACAAAATGGATAGCAATTAATACCTGCTACCAACCTAGGGTCAGTTAGGCCGAGGTTATTTTGTAACAGCTGTGTATGCTTGCCATCTTCGCGATTCTTGGTCCTTCGGAGATTCTGATCAGGAGTAACTGGATGCGTCCTTTCGATGGTTGTAAAAATAATCGTAATGTGTATAGCAACAATGGGCAACTTTGATAAATGCATTTTGTTAAAGTGTTTATTTGTCTGTGCAAACGCGTTTATTTTGGATTCCTTTTTTTTTGTCGACACTTAAAAAATTAATGTGGGTATAGCAATGTTTGTGTATAAAAGTATTTGAACATAAGAGTGTTCTGTGCACTACTGGCATAACTGCGAGTAAAGATCACCCTAGTTTGGTACAAGCCAACATAAAAATATATCAAATAATAATAATAATAATAATAATAATGATAAAAATGATCAGTGGTAAATGTCATGAAGCCATTTCTGACCTTGAGGTCTCTTGGTTGGGACCCGGATGAAAATGTGTATACAACAGAAATCCAAGGCAGAAATAATAATAATAATAATAATAGCTAGAATCAGGAAAAAAATACCAGTAGATGGAACAATGAACATGTCCTCTAGTGTGCAAACCGGCGAAAATTGGCGAGGGTGGATTTTGGTGGACCACAGACTAGATCCGAAAGAAAAACATCAAAAGATATTTCGATCAAGCCAGAGACCTGTGAGAATGTTGAAGGTAACAGTTGTGCCAGTTTTTATCAGAATAGTGGGTATGGCCCCGAAGGATATAGGTGGGAGTGAAAAGCTGTAGGAACTGGAAATCATGGAATGTGTCAGAACCATCGATACGCCGATATTACTGAAAATAGCCAGAATACTGAGGAAGGTGCTGGGGTCTTAAAAATAATTGCTGCCACTCAATCTCTACTGTAAGTTAACAGTTACTACTTGTATGAACACTCAGGGAGTGAATAATAAATAAATAAAGAGAAATATTCCTGAAAAGGAAAATTCTATAAAAATTTGAAATTTCAAACGTGTCATCTGATCTAAGCCGTTAGGGAAAAAAAAAAAAGAATCTACGAGTTTGTGGGTGCCACTGTTGGCGTGAATTACCGAAATCTTTGCAAAAAGACGAAAAGAGTAGGAAATCCTAGGAAGAAATATCAAATTCTAACCGACAACAGGAACACTGGGGAGATTGTTCGAATATTAGTAAGACTTGCTATTACTTGACCCCCAACAAAAGTTATATAGATTGGTGTGAGAGTTGTTGCTGATAATAATTATTATTATTAAAATAATAAAGGGTTATTTAAAAACGAATAAAGATAATAAAAATATCAATCAGCCATACAAGCTAATGTTACAAGTACAAACAGGTGTAGTTATTAGGACCAAAACTGTAAAACGCTAGATATGTCTACCTCTACCGAAGCGTCACGTCGGGTGGATTTAGAAATTGAAAGAGTATAGGGAAAAATAATGAAATATCAAGACCCTGCTTGAGAACTATACATAATAATTGTTGCTCTACGAGCAATTCCTTGGACCCTTACGAAGATTGACGTGTCGGGGGAGGGAGAGAGAGAGAGAGAAATGAAAAGTCAGAGACGATTTAGAATACAGCATTGTTGAAATCGGTAAGAATAAGAACTTTCGTTTGAGGAAACTGTTGCCACTTGACCCTCAGCAATAATTACAACATTAATAATAATAATAATAAAAATGATCAGTGGTAAATGTCATGAAGCCATTTCTGATCTTGAGGTCTCTGGTTGGGACCCGGATGGAAATGTGCATACAACAGAAATCCAAGGCAGAAATAATAATAATAATAATAATCGCCAGTTACTTCTCGTTTAAAATCTTGTTGAATATAGATAAGTAACTCATTGGAAGCAACATATCAATTTTTTCCTACTCGTCAGTAATTCGTAAAATTGTCTCCATCGATTTTAAGAAAAGCGTGCTGAATTATAAATTATGGAAAGAAATAACACATCAATAAATTAAAAAGAATAACAATATAAGGACAACCACAATAAAAGAAGAAAAAAAATCTTTCTCTAATCAGTTCAGTTTGATGAAAGTTTACGGAACTGCTATTAAACATTAGTCATCCTAAAGAAACGATGATAAACTTCGAGGTAGGGTAATGGTTGGCAAACTTGTCACGCTAGATCAGTTATGACTGTATAGTGAGTTTGATCCTCACTAAGTGCCTCATAGTTTCAACCTTGTACCACATCTAAGCTACGAGAAATCATCATCCTATGAGAGGTAATTGTTGGACAATCACCTGACAGATGAAGAAGACGCTTCAGTCTATAGAAGGATGCAGAGAATACAA